AAGTTTTTTGCAAATTTGGGTTGGCCAGAAGTGAAGTTAGTAAATCTTTAATGTAGACAAAAAATTTTGACATGAATACGGTTCTACTCTGAAATCCCGAAGGACAGGTTCTTGAATAAGACATATTACCGACAGAATTAGTTATAATGCTGGCCAACCCATGAATACCTGTAGTAAGAGATAATAATGATTGAAAAAAATTAATGTATTTTTTTTTAAAAAAAAATAAAAAATTTAAATATAATATTTTGTCAGAATTTCGATTTCATCATAAAAGAATATTATATTTAATAGTGAAGAGTTCCAATGGATCTACGATTTTTTTTTTTTTTATTCACTATTAACCAGCTTATCGTATTATAAAATCATTAAATTAGTGAAGAGTTCCAACAGACCTACGATTCACTTATTCAAAGACTGTAAGCCATTGATTACCCTGGGTCTTGACATGGAGGTTGTACTATAGTCAGTGGTGTGTGGTAAGTCGCCGAGGTGCATAATCAGCTAAATTAGGAAAATGTTCACATACACGTAGTTTTATAACGATAATACTCTTTTTTGTGTAATAAACTAGAAAAAAAATTATGTCAACTTGTGGCTCTCATATTGTACCTAATTCTTTCTTTTGTTCCATAGTATATGCTGTATTATAAAAATGTATAAAAAGATTTTTCCTAATTTAGGTGGTTTCCTCTTGTAATGCCGAGAATAGAGTAATAAAAATTTCATAAGTATGATATCACAGTCATGTTGAGATGCATAATTTCATGATTTTGATGAAATTTCACTAATTGAATACAGTTTCATAAGTAGAAATGTACCTCGTGCGAGATGACAAAATTATCGCACTCGCGATTTCGCATAACTTGCGTCATATCTCGCGCGAGCTAAACTACTCCATTAAATCTAAACCTTACAGTGATTAAAGTCATTGGCCTAAAGTACGATGATCTTGGATTTCTATAGATATACTTGGAGCTCGCTTTTTCCTAATTTGTTGCCGGTTTTATTAAGTGTTTACTCAAAGGCACGAAGAACTTACAAGCAGGAAGAGTAGAGCGAGTGAAGAGAGCACTCTTACCTAAACCTTATCATATGGGAAATATGAAAAAAAAAAAGGTTAGTTCATAAGATTTTTATTATTTTCATTAAAAATGATTAACATCTTGAGAATCAATCGAATAGGGATAGAAAAAAATTTAAGCGATCTCGATATGAAAATAAATCACTAGATGATTATTATTATTATTTTCAAAAAAAATTTTTCATGAAAAAATATATCTCATGTTAAAAAAATTTATATTATAATTTTTTTTACGCATATTCTCAGAATAAAGATAGTGGGAGTCCTGGTTCATTAGAAAAAGATTCGCGCGTGTTTGCTTGATTTATTTATCATGTAAAAAAAAATTATAACCATACCTGTAGATCTTGTTCTTTCTTTAAATGCAATAATATATTTTTTAAATTATTAAGATACTCAATGTATATCGTGATTTTTTTTAATTGTAATTAATTAAATTTTTTTAAATCGATTAGTTGGAAAGTTGCATTCTTCACTATGGAAATAATTCTATGCCGAGAGGGCATTTGTACATCTTACTAAAAAAGTTTAATATTTATTATATAATTTGGGTTGCCAGAAAGTTTTTAATACAAAGATATTTAAGAATATTGTAATAAATAATCATATAGATATTGTAATAAATGAACCGTCTTTACAATTGGGAACATAATAATAGCAACTATAAGTGCAGGAAAACTTAATTTTAATGCAATATCTATATAGAAAACTTTATCCAATAAACGTTCTTGGTAATAACATTGATAATAAGATATTACCCAATTTACAATTAGTTGGCCAAAAATCGTAAGGAAGAACACCTTAAAAGATAGATAAAAAGAAAAATATAGGAAAGTACCAAGACTTATATAAATGGAGGCACATAAAATTCCCGTATAATCTACATTTTCAAACATTTGTTTCCTTCGAATTTGATGGTTTTTGATCGAAACTTGAAATACTTCATAATCTTCAGCAAAAAAGGTCTCTTCTGAGATGATTTTATGTTCGTAAAATCGGGTTATACTGTTCCAGGTTGAAGAGCTTGACATGCATAAATCATCTCCAAAATATGGACCTTTTCTGCTACTCCAGTAGATGGATTCAATTGGACTATTAACGCGACTTAATATTGAATCATTTCGATTTGTAAGTGAAAAAATAAAGCTATTGCATGTATAGCATCTGTAATCTCTAAAAATAATTCTGCCGTAATAATCATTTCCAATGATTTTTCCTTTGCTCCAATTAATTGGATTATATCCACCAATTACTTTTCCAGAATTCTCTACTTTAACAACTACGATAGTAGCACCATTATTATCGCAAAGGTCGTGAAATGTATCAATTCCGAATCCATCACGAGAACCACGAAGCAGGAGTTTGAATTCAAATGGATTTTCTTGATATGAATATGGTATTTGTCTATAATCTATCCATCCTGCAATTCTATTAATATCATTGAGATTAATAATTTTAGAATCGAATTGTCGCCATCGCTCACGATTTTCCATTCTCCTCGTTTGTAAAGAGAATCAAACTTAGGCTTGACGATTTTAACGTTAAATATTTAACGGAAATCAGTATTTTGGGAAACAATGATTTTTATCATTACGTAATGTACGCAAGTGTGTCATATATCATGCGCCATCATATTTCGGTTTGAAAGAAAATTAGCGCTAGTATATATATTATAGCTATGAGTATAGATTTTCCAAGAAAATTTTTAAGGTAAAACTCGAAAGATACTTTTACAAAGTGTTTTTTAGATATTATTGATATTTTGAGGGTTTTATTTTTAATCATATCACTGTTTAAAAATTTTGTAAATCGCAGCCTGTATTAGGTGTTAATATCAATCGGGAGTGCTATAAAGAAAGTGCCGGTCTAAATCAGGAAAATATACGTTAATAGCGATAGAGAAATGATGGAATTAAGGGTTTCTATGAGCGGGCGGATGATAATTTTAAGTGTTATAAATTTTGATGTCAGTAGTGATAAGATTATTTGAATAATGTAATTTAAGTGATTCAATCAGTGATGGTAATGTGATGATAATAGAATAAGAATTGCACTATAATTAGAGAGATCGTTACGATTAGAGTCACGTGCAAGATAAGCACGAGAAATCGATATGTTGTTTGTATTTGATAGATCAAATCTGAAAGAACTTTATTAAGGCGGAAAACGGTTCTTTAAAACATATTCAATTTGCATAAATTAATTACAATACTCTATTGACGAGTCAACTTTCTTCTGTCAGTTTAATACTCTTGACTCAGATCTTTTTATCCTCCACCAATGAAAAATCTTTCTTGCTCCCTACTCTAAATTAAGTGACCTTCACGAAATTCATGAAATGTTTACTCATTTACTTCTCATTCTAAACCCTTTGTAATCCTTTGACGGATTTTTATAATAAGTAACCGCTTTTTATTCAACCACTTTGTACAACCAATCTCTACTCCATTTTCAGTGGACGGTAAAAAGGAACAAGAAGAATATAGAATTAGATTCCGTTCAGATAACCGTTCTTCCGGTATTGAACAATTGGAAGTACGCGTTCTCGTGTGGATTATATATATGGTATATATATGTGCCCCACAACTGTTGTGACACGTCCATCGAACTAATCTATTAAAAAAAAAGAATAATAATTTTTATTATATACGTATTGTGGCAGATTAAAATGAAATCGAAATTTTTCTATTTTTTTAGGAAAATTTAAAATTTTTTGGGGGACATTTTTTAGGGTTAGGGTTAGGGTTTAGAGTTAGTTTTATTAATAAAAGAGTATAAGTGGGTTTTATAAGCTTTAAAGATGAGCAATAAAGGTCCCCAGTTTCATTTTAATCCGATTTCATTATGATCTCGACAATTATTAATAACAATAAACTTATTAATGATTATATTACTTGCTGTTAGATGAGTTTATGCCTTATATTTGTGTTATGTGCCTAGCCAAAACCCTAACCTGCCACCTATAGTCACGTCCATTGGTTTAATTTTTTTTGCTTTGAGATATTTTTTATACACCAAGGTTGCGAAATTGTTCGGTTTTTTTTTTTTTTTTAAAGGATGAAAAAAAAACCATGCACCAGATAACGATAAGATACAAACTTTAATTGCCTAAAGCGTAATGGCGGGCATTTAATGTTTAGTTAAAGTGATGCGAAAGTTAGTTAATAGCTACATCTTTGATTAGCTTATTAACAAACTTACATTGCTACGTATCAAAAACGTAAATTTGAAAATTTTCCGTTCAAGTTTGAGAAAAATTTTGGCGCAGCTTGTTTTGATGAATTTTCTCAAACTTTGAGCGAAGGTATCTCGACAATCACTAAGTCAAATTCAATATTTGGATTCTACGAATCTGTAGAGTTTAAATAAAAAAAAAAAGTTTATCGAATTTGAATTGGTGGTTGTTGAGATATCTTCGCTCAAAGTTGAAAAAATTTTGGTGCAGCTTCTATTTTGATAAATGGTTTGAATTTTCTCAAACTTGGAGTAAAGATATCCCACCGTACAAGCGCAAATAACGCACACCTGCGCGTTATTTCGAGTACGCGCATGTGCGTTATTTCTAAATAAAGGTTGAATTCTACCTCTAATTATAATAAATAGTATTTATTTATAATAAGAATTAAAAAGTGCTCCAGAACTGGGTTTGGTATTAAGTAAATGTTTATTTTTTGGTATTAATAAAAGTTGTTCTTCAAATCTAGACGATTCTAACAGTAGTAATATCATTAATACCCTACCTTACTATTTATTGTTCATGCCTACCTTCAGTATAATTTTCCACGAGATCATATCATGACCAGGAATCTTCCATGGGAAGATTCTCATCACACGAAAAATTATACAGCTGTTTTCAAAAAGATGTGGAAAACGATTTCCATATACCCATGTGGGGAATCGAAGAATGTGAAAATTCTGCTTAGTAAAAATTA